TTTTTGCATTGAGTCTCTTATGTCTAGGTGTAGGAACTTTGTGGATGAAGGATAGGGCCTCGTTGACCAAATCCCTGTCGGGCTAAGTAGGGCTAAAGACTTTGCCTAACGATTCGACTGTCCCGGAGGACACGAACCCTCCCAAGGAGCGGTACAGACCGGCGGGCTGCTCGGTGTGGCACGGTAGGCCCGAAAAGCTGAGTTGTGGGCTGCACAACAGGCAGTCTAAGTGTTGAGAGACCTGCTGATCGCGTCGTCCTGTTTGCGACGTTAAATAATTCCTGAGGAGTTACGGGGGATCTCCTTAAATGCCTCCTAATCAGCAACAGGTCTAGTAGTGACAGCCTTAGCGTAGGTCTAGGCTAGAGACCAGAGTTGACAGGATCCTGTCCGGATTCTGTAAGTCTTAGGTTGAATCCGTCAGTGTGTCAGTCAGGGGGAGTAGAGTCTAAGTGGTAAGGAGTGGAACCGATTGACTGGTTGTGCACCAATCACCATGGTTGACACCCGTAGTGGGAAGAGTACTGCCCCCTCCGAGGCCGAGCAGGCCCGGATTGCCGCCCTTTTGAGAGAGAGAAAAGAGAAGGAGCTCCTGAAACAGGCGAAGCTAAAGGCTATCACAGAGGAGCAGGCGGCGGAGAAGAAGAGATTGGAGGAGGAGATGTTGAGGTTTAAGAAGGAGAAGATGATGTTGTTAGAACGAGAGGAAGAAGAGAGGAGAAAGGTTGCGGAAGAGGAAGCAGCAACAGGGGAAGAGGAAGAAGAAGAAGAAGAGCCCCTTGAAAGAAGACGTGGAGAAGGGAGAGGGGAGACAAGAGGCACAAAGGGAGAGGACGCGTGGACGGAGAAGAAGATAACTGAGTGGGTGGCTAATTTATCGTTAGGGGAGGATGAGGAGGCACAACTATATGTGCCGCAAGACGAGAAGGAAGCGTTTGCCAGGGAATTGGAAACGATAGAAGATCCCTTGGAACGCCAGACGACAGAGGACGAGAAAAAGTTGGAGTGGAAACTGAGAATGATGAGGGAGAAGGAGAGGAGGAGAGAGGAGGCCAATAGGGTGGCGAAAGAAGTTGAGAAGATTCAAGCCTGTAGAGAGGAGGTGCAGGCACAAGCTGAGGTCCCTGCCAAATTAGACAAGATCCTGGGGTACCTAGAAGTCTTGAGCAAGGCTTGGGTAGAGGAACATCAGGTCGTCAAGGGTCAAGATGTGATCCTGCACGCCATCCGATCTGGGCTTAGGGAGTTTGCGCGCGACGTGGTGACTCACGTTGGGACCGAGGTCAAAAAGATGAAGGAAAGCGCACAACAGTTCTGTGCTGGCACCATTGAGGGCGCCAAAGTAGTGGCTGCGGCAGAAGCCGAAGCAGGTCCCCGCAAGGACCCAGTAAAGCTCAAATTTCCTGACGCATACGGCGGGAAGGAGGAGGAGAATTTTGATAACTGGGAGGCTAGTGTTAATAGCTATGTGTACCTACATCACATCTTGTCCGAGGAACAAGTCCTCGTAGCCTTCCAGGCCCTGAAAGATGAAGCTGCCAGTTTTGCTACGTCCCTCGCGCGCGCAGCCGGTTGTGAAAACAACATGGTTGCATACTCAAAGATCACCTCACTTCCCCAGTTCCTCAAACTCCTTAAAAAGCGATTTGCTGATCCCGCGAGAGGCGTCAGAGCCTCTGATAAGCTTCAGACCATTCACTTGCGGCAGTGGAGGAGTGTGAAAATTGTCATGGATGACTTGGTGGTCGTCCCGGATCATGGGGTCACAGAGACCCAATTGGTCCAGTTATTTAATCGTGCCATGCCAGAGCCCCTGAGAGGGCACTTTTTCGACAAGACCCAACAGCCCAACATCACGTATGATTCGTTGAGTAGGGAAGTGGTCTTGTTTGAGGCCAAGTCTATGCCAGTTTCCACTTTCTGGCACAAAGACTTGGACAATGGCAAAAAGTGGAAAGGTTGTACCATCTCAGGCCAGGTCAAGGCCAAGGATCATCTGATCCGTACTTTAGACGAAGGTGGTACTGACGAGGTCCCATACAGTTAGATTGAGTGGGGCCTCGACGAGGAGGGCAGTAGCTTAGGACAGAGGAGGTCTTATGCTGCTGTCGCGGCTGGAGGGAGGTCGCAAGGTAGGGGAGGACGCCAGGGCCAAAGGGGCTAGGCCATGGGAGGCCGAGGATCGGGCGCACAGGGGGTTGGTGGTCCAGGGAACCGCCAAGCGGGAGGTAGGGGTCAAGGTCCCCCGCCAAATCGCCAAGGTCCCAGTCGGTCCCCACAGCGACGAGGTGGCAGGTCACCTCAAAGGTCAGGAGGTTGGCACCCGGGTTGGCCACAAGGCCGGCCCTGGGAAGATTTGGGCCTAGAGCAGAGAGTGTGGCAACAGTGAATGGAGCAGGGGCAGTGCATTTACTGCGGTGACCCTTCCCATATTATCAAATACTGCCCTAAGTATAGACAGGCCCGTTGGGCTGCCCAGGAATCAAAAGGCAGCCGCCGGTAGGGGTTGCAACTACCCCTACTCTTAGGCCATGTGGGGAAGTGAGCGCGCCCATAGAGGAAACTCCCACACCACATGTGCCTTCGGCAGAGGTTACAGGCCCGCGCCTAGTTAGCTGTCCAGAGACTGGTTGTGTCAGCGTCTCTCTAGGCACGTCCCTCACAGGCGTGGCAGAAGAGTTAAAGGAGAGGATGCCAACCTGGGCCAAAATGAAGAAAGATAGTAAAGGGCAGCTGGTGTTAGTAGATGTAGAAGTTTTCAGGAGTAGAGTTGGGGCCCTTATAGATTCATGGGCCACCCGCAGTTTCATTAGCCGTAGAGCGCTGAAAACGTTGAGGCTAGGATTGAAGGTCCAAAAATTAGCAGATCCGATAGTTAGTGTCCACGCAGACAATCGCACGATGCGTGTTGAGGACTACGTAGAGGGAGTCCAGGCGTACTTTCACCTAGGGAAAGATGGGAAGGTGGAGAAAGTTCTCCATTCCCTTACTCTCCTCGTACAGGATGACCTTCCATTTAACATAGTCCTAGGTATGGACTGGGGAGAGGCAGCAGGGGCCACACTCCACTTGAGAGAGCATGAGTGTAGGCTCCCTAGCCCGTCAGGCGAGGTTAAGACAACCCGTCTGTTCCATCTGTCAGGAGTAGACAACTCGCTGACACATTGCTGTCTCAGTGCTCCCGCGTTTGCACGATTAGTGAAAAAGGAGCAGTTAGAGGATCAGGTCTTTGTGGTGTATGTTAGACCTGCCACTGAGCCTATTAGTTCCATGGATCCAGCCATTGCCAAGCTGCTGGAAGAGTTTAAAGACTTATCTGAGCCGCCGACAGGTGCCGCGGCCAATCCAACACAGGATAGAGATAGAGCCTGGCAGTAGAACTCCTAAGGGAGCAGTCTACATGATGTCCCCTAGAGAGTTGGAGGAGCTACGCAAGCAGTTAGACGAGCTCCTTGAGAAGGGTTGGATTAGGCCCAATTCGTCTCCTTTTGGAGCACCTGTTTTGTTTGTCCCCAAAAAGGAAGGAGTTGCGCATGTGTATAGACTATAGGGGTCTGAATGCGATTACAGTCAAGAATGTTGAACCACTGCCCAGGATAGACGATCTTTTAGATTGGGTGCAGGGTTGTAAGTATTTCTTCAAGATAGATTCGAAGTCCGGTTATCATCAGATAGAAGTCCATCCTGATGACCAGTACAAGACTGCGTTCCGGACTCGTTATGGGCATTGTGAGTTAATAGTGATGCCCTTTGGACTGACCAATGCGCCAGCCACATTTCAGCGATGTATGAATGGCCTGTTTAGGCCTTGGCTAGATAGATTCATCGTAGTGTATTTAGACGACATCTTAGTTTTCAGTAGGACCCTCCAAGAGCACCAAGGTCATTTAAGGCAGGTCTTGGAGAAGATTAGAGAAGCTAACTTCAAGATCAACGCGAAGAAGTGTGAGTGGGCCAAGACATAAGTTTTGTACTTGGGCCACGTACTAGATGGAGATGGGATCAAACCTGAGGATAGTAAGATAGTGGCAATTCGAGACTGGCCGACACCCCGCACGTTAACAGAGTTGCGGTAGTTTCTAGGCCTAGCTAACTACTATAGGAAGTTTGTGAGGAACTTCTCTACCATTGCCACTCCCTTGCGCAGATTGCTCAAGAAAGAGACCATCTGGCAATGGGATAAAGACTGTACGTCTGCGCTCAAGAAATTAAAGCGGGCATTGATAGAATATCTTGTCCTCAAAGTAGCAGATCCGTCCTTACCATTTGTCGTCACCACGGACGCGAGTCAGTATGGAATAGGCGCCGTGTTGCAGCAGGACGACGACAATGGCTATAAACCCATAGAGTTCATGTCAACAAGGATGCCCTCAGAAAAGATTGCCACCTCGACGTACGAGAAAGAACTCTACGCTCTCAGGCAGGCTTTAGAGCACTGGAAGCATTACCTGCTTGGGAGGCACTTCGTATTCAAACCATGAGACTCTTAGATGGCTGAAGACACAGGCCATAATGACACCTAAGTTAACTAGGTGGGCCGTTGAGATAGACCAATATGACTTTGAGCTCAAACTAGTGAAGGGTAAGTATAATGTAGTTCCGGATGCTCTGAGTAGGAGATCAGACTACTTTGGAGCCATAGTTCACTATCTGCATATAGGGAGTAACCTGCAAGAGAAAGTCAGACAGGCGTATGCGCAGGACCCTATCTATAGTGACCTCCTCAAGAAAGTTAAGGAGGCCCCGGAGACTGAGCCAGATTACCGCACTACAGAGGGTTTGCTATTCGAGAAGACTGATGTATTCGACCGCCTATGCGTTCCCAACAATGAGGAAATCCGCAGTCTGATCCTAGGGGAATGCCATGATACAGAGGGACATTTCGGTTGGCAGAAAACATTAGCCAACCTTGTGCACCCGTACACATGGCCTGGAATGAAAAACGACTGCATAGAGTATGTCCGTAGTTGCAAAGTCTGTCAGAGGAACAAGACTACTACGCGTGCCCCTCTAGGTCTTCTTAGACCCTTGCCCATCCTAGACCAGCCTGGAGATTCAGTCTCTATTGACTTCATGGATGCCGGTGTCAAGAGTAGACACGGCAGGAACCATGTCATGGTCATAGGTAATAGGTTTAGCAAGTATGCTATATTTGTTCCCTTGCCCGCAGAGGCGCGCACAGAGTTAGTAATACAAAAGTTTTTTGATTTTTGGGTTAGTGAGCATGGAGTCCCGTTGTCCATTGTTAGCGATAGAGATAGTCCCTTCACCAGCCAGAACTAGCAGGAACTCATGAGAGTTTATGGATCAAAGTTGTTGATGTCGTCTGGCCGCCATCCAGAGACTAACGGTCAGACAGAGCAGATGAACAAGATCCTGCAGCAAGTTCTGTGCATGTACATTAGACCCGATCAGGTCAACTGGGACGAGATGTTACCCGAGGTAGCCAGTGCATACAATAACAACGTGCATTTGTCCACCTGTCGCACTCCCAACAAGCTACATAAGTCCTTTAGACCACGTAGACCATTTGAAGGGCTTAACCGGGATCAGATTCACAGGCTACCGCTCGGTACCAGGGAATTCGCGATACAGCATGAGAAGGAGATAGCCATTGTTGTTGAAAACCTCAGGAAGGCCCAACACCGAATGATAGAGCAGGCTAATAAGCACCGTCGCCCATCACAGTTTCATGTAGGCGACCTGGTCTGGGTTAAGTCTAAAGAGTTTGCACCTGAGGAGAACATCTCGCAGAAGTTACTGCCCGTGTATAGAGGACCGTGGCCAGTCCTAGAAGTAAAGGGTGGAGAGGATGGACCGTCCTACACAATAGAGATACCAGCACACCTCCACACCTACCCTGTGTTTCACGCGTCAAAGTTGCTGCCGTGTGTCACAAGTCAGCAGTTTCCATCTAGACGGTCCATGTTCCCTCCAGATATGGACGGGAGATATGACATCGACGACATTGTAGGTGAGGATGTGTTCAGAACAGGAGGTAGAGGTCGTCCACAGAAATAGTATAAGGTCCGGTTTGCTTATCAGGAGCCGGAAGACAACCGCTGGTTTACAAGAACAGAACTTCTCGAGACAACTCCCGATATAGTTAGAGCCTATGAGAGATCGGAAAGGAAAAGGTCCTGCCTTGGACTGAGTTATTATCGGAGGACCTCAAATTTAGGCCGGCGGGTGTGAAACGGTATTCACCTGTTCGCAGTAGCTGATGCAGATCCCAGGGCTCGATCCTTAGTCCCCACCTTACCTGTGTACAGTACCTGTGTCGATCCGTAGAGTTGAACTCGCAACCTGTGTATTGCAACAGTTGATAGGGTGTCGTAGGGTCCATAAGTAGCATGGGTTCGATCTGTAGACCTGTCGGATAGGCGTCCCAGTCAGGTCTAGAGGTCGTAACTATAGCCTTCTCGAAGAGTCAGGGTCGTAGCTGCTACAGTCTAGAAGGGTCAAAGTCGTAGCTGCTACAGGACCGAAAGGCCAAGTCTACGGCCTTCCGGAAGGTCTAAGTAGTGGCCTTTTGGAGTGTCCCACGCTTAGGCTGAGGCAAGTGGGCAAGTGGCGAGGCAAGTGGTGGACTCTACCCGTGTTGAGTCAGCAGTCCCAGTCCTAGGCAGTCTGGTTCAGTCAAGCAAGTACCGCATGGGACTGTGTGCACTTCGGGCATGGGAAAGGGCCAGACCAACGAGCCAAAGTATCAACCATTCATTCATTCCTGCATGAGCCATGCGGAAGCGCTGCAACAGCGACTTGTGCAAGGAGGTGTGCAGTGAGCCCGGAGACGAAGTGGGCAGAGAGACGAAGCTTAGCCATAGCGATAGGGTAGAGGCGGCCATAGCCGCCATAGCTGTAGTTGGAGTTCAGTGTGTGTGTGTGTGAGCGTTCAAAGAGACGCGTGTGGGATATCCATGGTGATCCAGTGTACGTGAAAAGAGAGTTGTAAGGGCGTTATGTCGCCATAGCCATTGGAAGTGAACTCGTATCTGGGTTGCCATATCTCTGAGTACTGAGTGGGCGCATGTCGCCAGTT